TTAGGTGTCTCCTCCTCGCCCGAGGTGTCTGTCGGAATTCACTCGGCTGTACAGGGTGTTCCATAATTATGTTAACAGCTGGAAAGAGATGATTCCTGAGGCCATTTGGAGTAACTTTTTCCTTAGCGAAAACGCAATCCGCGGCTTTGTTTACGAGTTATTAGCGAAAAACGGGGACCAATGAGAGAAGGCGCCGCCTTGCGCCAGCCGAGCCAATCAGCGGAACTAGGCTTCGACCGCTCGTTGGCTCGGCCGCCGCGCGCCAGCTGATCTGACCTCTCATTGGTCACTGTTTTTCGTTAATAACTCTTGAACGAAGCCGCGGATTGCATTTTCGCTAAGGAAAAAGTTACTTCAAATGACCTCAGGAATCACTCCTTTCCGGGTGCTAATATAATTATGGAACGCTCTGTATGCACACACAGAGGCCTTCTCCCGGAGTCTGGATATCATTGCGCCCCTAATGGCTACGAGGACCTTACCAAAAGAACCCCAACTTCTATTAAAATCGTTCTTCTCATAAAGTTATACAGCGGTACCTCGTAATACGTCTGCTTTGGAGTACGTCCAACTTGGTGCACGTCCTGCTTGGACGCGGAAAATTTTGTCTGGTGTACGACCTTTGTGTGGAATACGGCTGGAACGGATTAAAAATGCGTAAAAAAGCGAGGTAGCGCTGTATTTGCCTAAAGTTTTAGGTTTTATTTACGTACATCACGCTAGGATACGCGAGTCACCATGGTAACAGTCATTTTTTACAACGGTATTAACTCTTCCAGCGTCGAACGATATATCATTTTTTAGCTGCTCCCGAGAAAACGTTTTTTTAATGATTACACGGTTTCGTTGCTTCCTTTCTTTTGAATTTTCTAATTATCAGGTTTTGCAAAATCGTTATACTTTCTTTCCGGAACTTTACCAAACTACGTCAAACAGGTTTGGTACACTTCGCTCGGGTACACACGACTCCTTTGGTTGGCACTAAGAGGATTAATATTTTCGCCGGAGCTTCGCACCGCTAATTAGGTCGCGCAGGTCTGCGAATTATTCCGATCCGCGCTTCCAACTTTTCGAGATCTAAGGACAATCATAACGTTCAAAGGGACACTGCCATTAGAGATGGCACGGGAATGCTCGGAAAAACAGCATACAATGCGATGCAATCAAACACGCTATTCCAGGAATGAGCACGTATTTCGGAATTCGTGCTGTATCTCGTTCGGCTGCACCCACACCGAGCAGCCAGCGTAAACGCGCGCTGCTTGATGCATGGAGGCAAACAGCGAACTTACACATAAAACAGCTGATAAATGGGCAACCGGTGTTCTCAGGGACTGGAACTGCGACTGTTTACCTGGCGAAAATAAAAATGTTCGCGACAACGGTGCCCGCGGAATTTTACGTTTCCCGAAGTCTCGCGCTCTTCGTAAATAATCACGCAGCGAGTGTTTCCGAAAAATTAATCCGGGGATATGCGGAAGTTTTGAATAACTCCATTGCATCTGCAGGGTGAATCGAGGAAAGAGAGACACTCGTGTGCATATGCGAAAGAGGCGCTATGTTCCGTATGTGATCGATGAGGACATTACAGAAAGGTTACGTTAGTTCTTCTGCAGTTAATCTTCTAATTTCGCTTAATTCACCGAGAAATGCATAAAGTGATCTGCAGTCCAGTGATTTTCAACAGGGCTTGAATTTAACTGGAAACTTTTATAAATGTATATTATTTGGTAAACTTTCAACTGCTGAATTATTTCGTTTTCTGTTTTAGCTTTTACATTAACATTTTAATTCTGTCAGAAAAGTTCAATTTTTACAGTTATTACGTATTCAACTGATACAAATTCTGAAGGAATATTTATCTCTTAACGGATATCCTTAAATAAAATATAAAATTGTATGCTATTTATTAATTTACTTGAGTATTATTTATTGTACTCTTATATTGAAAGGAAAATTAGACAAAATCAAGAACCATTGTGTACACACACGTTCGCTGTTCATCATTTAGTTTTAGAAGCGATATATTTTCCAAAGTGTTTTCATTAATACCAGCCCCAAGACCGCTGTGAATAAATTTCAAAGTAAAATAAATAAAACAAAAATAAAATAAATAAAGAATAAAGTAAATATACTCGTTCCACCAAATATACCAGTATGTTTACATTTTATTGGATTTATTTTCTCTGTCGTTAAAACGGAAAAGTTAAAAGTAAAAAAATAACTGTTACATCGGGGCCAATTAAAAATTACAACAGTTTCATTCAAGCCCTGATGTCCAACAATGTTGGATGTTCGCTAAATCCCTGCTTCCAAGTGATTCATCAAAAAAAAAGAAAAATACTTGGCAGTGCTAAAATATCGAGCCCCCGAGCGACCGGTGCGATGGTTCAACGTACAAATGACCTTCAGACGACCTTGGGGAGAAGAAGATTCGGGCAGAGATTTCGGCGTCCTGTTTCTGGCGACTCACCGCGCGTAAAAGCAGGATCGACGCGTCGAATAGCGCGGGCATTCGGCACGTCTCGACTCGATAAGTAAAAACGATCGACGAACCGGAGGCTGGGCGGAGGAGCCAGGGTTTTTCCAGGCAGCCACTTGCGGATCGTTCATCATACCGGTAATGCATCCAGCATCCCGGGTTCCCCTTTGGCCGAGGATCGGCCCGATAGCGAGAGAACGATCTTTGACGCTTACAAGGAGCCACGGCCGGTGCTCTTCTCCCTTTCCTGCGGCGTTCCCCGACCTGTCTTCCCGAGAGCCTCCGGGCGCATCCCTCCGAGGAGACCACGAAGCTATGCAACCCTCGGTAATGCGCGCATCAATAACCTATCATATCCAACTTTCCAGATGCGGTTCGATGCGATGTTACGCCCCCGCACCTCGCGATGGCGTGCCCAACGGGGCGAAAATCGAAAAAGCCATTGTTTCGTATCGATTGGAAATTGTGTTTATACTAGGACAGAGGGGCCAATTACGGTGCCCCGGTAACAACGTTAACGCTAGAACTACCGACCAGTCAAAATGACTGGTTTATGATTTGTTTTTTTTACGATTCCTGACATCATGAAAAAGTTTCTATGAGAAATTCTTAGATAAACTTCTTTGTTCAAACATACATTATAATAGTAATCCTACAAAGTTTAAGTAAATCAAATATTCTCATTGTTATTAAACAATATACATTAGTTACGATCAGGGTTCTAGTTCTGGTGTTAAGAAGTTTTCGCTATTGAACACAATTTTGGCAATTTAAATGACGTTTCTTACGAAGAAAAACGTTTGTACGAAATAATGTTTATAGAAACTGATGGCCAAGGGATGTCTGATCGTAGTGAAACTTCAGAAATTTTGTAATACTTGTGCTCAAAGTATATAATATTATAATACTATGCTTAAAAATAAAAAAAGGCTCATTTTGTTTCGTGTCTTCGTAATAAACAGAACGAAAGTCGTCGAATTGTGTAGACGCGAATAAACGTAACTGCCGAAGAATAAACGTAAGAGCTGAAACGTCGAATCGGCTGCAATCTTCTGGTAGAAGGAGGATAAAAAGCGTTCTATGGATCGCTAGTTGCCCAGACTATCGTCGGCCGCGGAAAGTACAAACATCGGTCGAAAGGGTCGCGAGTAATTCCACAGGTGAAATTGCATCGGCCCGGTTTTCCAATTACCCTTGCTGATCTCGATTCGATTGGGACTCGGTGTATATTGATTGTTCGATTACACGTGTACACGTGTGCCGTGCGTGCCGTCCTTCGCTCATCAAATTTATTTTCACCCGGCAAATGAATTGCTAATGCAAACGTTGGAAGGCGCAATCCTTCCGGCGCCGCGTTTCATTGCACAGGTGCGCGACGTGCATCGACACATGCCTCTGTTTTCGTTTCATACACGGGATATTTTGAGCCTGTCGTGGTACGGATACATATATAAGTTCTTGTTTGACTAGAGTTTCAGTAACTGTAGTTCTTCGATAAACGTGAAACTGGGTTACTTCAGTTCGAAGCATTTACGTGAATTGCGCGCTCGCATTAGGTTGTTGCAAATGAAATGGTAAACTTCGATTTAACAAACTCGATGAAATATCTCTTCGCGATCGGAATAGTCTCCTTTGACTTCAATACTCGCGCGACATATTCTGGGAGTACAGTAATTGCGCACGAAATTGACTGCGCACAGAAATGGACAATTTGAGAAGAGGAGTTACGATTACCCGAGTCTCGCGATACGTTTTTACACGTATACGTTTTTTATATATATACGTTTTTATATATATTTTTGTATATATATATATATACGTTTTTTATACGTTGATAATGAGCTACTACAAAAACGCGAGCCGCGGAGCTCGAATAATCGTGTCACCTTTTCCCAAATTGTCCATTTTTGTGCGCGATCCGAGCGCGAATTAGAGAAAAGCTACTGCAATCGAAAAGGTTGCCGCGCGTTGGTCGAGAAGAGAGGCACCCTATAGATCGCAGGGAAATTATCTTCTTTCGTTTGCACCGTTCGAGCGGTTCAGTGGGCGATTCAACGATCCGGCGCAAAGCAGCATTTGCACGGCGAGTATCGGTCTTCAATTTATCACGTAGCAAGAAGATAAATTGCGAATGCGGTCGAAGTACTTTGTCCGGTAATATGTGCGTAATAAAGTGCGAATGTAATGAAATAAGCGGGGCGCTCGATGGCGCGGCGCATTCGGCTGATTAAACGTCATACGTAATACATATTTGGTTCGAGGCTGCGAATTAAGTGCGGATCGATGGCGGGACTACTTCTGGTCAACTAGTTACCGTGGGGCCGAACAAACGAGGGGATAATTGAATTTATCGGTTACGATCGATTAAAAATTATCGCCGGGCAAACGGCGCGCCGTTGAAAAATCGCCCGGGGAATAATTAATCGTCCTAACGTTTTCATAATAAAGAGAGTGTATAAAATGTTTACGGGCCATCAAACACCGCCATTACGCTTCTTAAATCGTCGGGCGTACTCACGTTTACTGTTCTGACCACCATCTCTCTCGTCTCCGGGTTCACCTCGCTCCATTCGCTGGCGTAGCACGGTCCTCGATGGCCGAACAACTAAAACAACAAAAGAATCTTTTCAGAGCGAGTATAAATTGCAAGCAAACCGTTCTCAGAAGCTAAACTGTATTTCGCCTGTGTAGAGCCGCGCGTGAGCGACGAATCGCGGCAAACGCAATTAACAGGATCGCGAAAACGCGCGGCGTTTCATTTTTAAGAATTAATGAATCGCCCGGAATAATTAACCCGGCCGAAGTGTCGCCGCATCTGCGTTCCCTAATAATTGATATTTCTGTGATTAATAATGCCTCAATTACCGGGGGCCGTGCGAACCGCCGCAATAACCGGACGATACACATGTGTTTTCGCAAGTAATGAATTAAACACCCACGGCGCCACGATCCTGCCATTAATTTTTCCGACGCCGGCACGAAAAAATAAACATTTACGGAACGTGACGAAATGGGCTGTACAGCAAATTTAAAGTAAACATTGATCCGTTTTTATTAACGTTTCGAGCGTGCCTCGCCCGGCTCCCGAGACCCGTGCTCTCCGCTGGATTTCTTAAAAACTATCTTCTCCTCCTTTTAAGAACCCGCGGGGGAAAAGTTTCCCCGAGAAGTTTAAGAGAACTGCTGGCGTATCAAATCAAGTTTTTAATTTGCTTTTAACTCGATACAATCTTCGCAACAGTGTAATATATTCATGTGAACGGCCGGCACTGTAAATTACGTTAAACAAATAGGCTTCCGCGGAATTGCGTTCCCAGCGACTGAATAATTACTGAAAGCAGTAAATAATGATTGAGGCTGCAATGACAATAGCACGGCGGACGTTGTAATTTTGATTGCCCTGCGAAGGATGGCGATCCTGTCGCTTCGTATCGCGTTGAATATCGCGTAACATCTAGCGGAAATTTCGAAACGCCTATGGTCATAGGAGACCGCGAATTTTATGCATTTATGATGGAAACGATTAGGCGAAGTACCGAAGTGTAAACACGTTCAAAGAAACTAAGAATATTCCTATCTTATCGTCGATTATTCAAAGAAGAAATACACTCTTATCTTATTTTCGTTTCTTATAATCGAGTTTGCAACCGAAGTGACCTGTTCGAAATCGGGACATTAAGTCAAACACTGTGGAATAATATTCGATATAATTACGACTTTATTATGAAGAACGAATAAGGCTCGTATTTACTGCATCACTGGATGATTAGTGACGAGGCACAAATAATTGAAGACCGATAGTAATGACCTAATCGAAAGTTATTTATTTAATCGAAAGTTATTCAACGAAGTAATATAGCAGATAATTTCTGTATATTTATCAGATAAATCCAACACGACCCATAGACGATGTTTTCTTCATAGGTATAGCGATCATGATTCAAATTAACCAGAGAGAATCAAGCGATGACGAGTATACTCGTCAAACACAGAGTAAAAATGTCGCTGTTAAAATATTCGATCAAAAAGACGGTTTCAAGACTGCTTATTTTATAAAATTAACAATTTTAACATTAACATATACTACATACAAACTAAATGAAAAACGCAGGGAAAATCAAATACTTATAAAAGTCAAAAATTCAAATTGCTGCTGTAGAGTGCTATTCGACAAAGCAAGAAACGATACAAGATAGCAAAATACCAATATCGTGATTCTTTTCTGATCTTATTTTTATAACCATTGTTATAAAACCTACACTTTCCTCCTCCTACACCTTCGCGTAGGATTGGTCTCAAAATACACTAAACATGTTGAAATTTGAAAATATATTTTTGTTTTCACTAAAATTACAAATTTAAATAGCCAAAGATCGCTGCTTTTTACGCACGTCACAACACAAAATACTGCCACTTGTCCATGACAAGTATGCTCGTCTAACTGCTTAACAATTCTATGTATAACTCTAACATACTCTATAATATAAGATCTCGTTACCCGAAGGAAATCATCCACGATGAAATCGCTAAGAAGACAGACGATTAAAAGAGGTACGACAAACGCGCGGTCACTTTCGTCGAAAGCCCACCGAAGTGCGGGATTCCCTAATACCAGCGAGCCGGGCAATTGCTCCGAAATGTTGGTCGTAGCAGCAGCAGCAGCTGCGAGAAAGCAGTTAGCAGCCGAATAAAGGGCGACGGGGGTTTGGCGGTGGAGAAAGAAAAAAAGGGAGAACGAAGGAGCTAACTCAAATCGAGACGAGCCTCCGCACTTTCCCTTCCCGTCAAGTAATTTCAAGAGTGCCTAAACGCGGAGCCGATCTCCCCCCTATCCCCCCCGGCGTTCCAGTTTGCTGTGCATTCGTTATATACGGGACTGTGATTCGAGGCATTCGGCCGAGCGAGCCGGCACAACGGGAACGGCTTTGCGAAATGGCCGAGCTTATAGAAAATCCTGCGAAAGGAAGCAATTCGCCGAGCCAAAAAGGATTCGAAGCCGGGGGATCCTCCGCCCACTGGCGTTGGATTCGGAAGGAGCAGCCGGGACGAGGAGGGTTCGAGGCTCTAAGAGAGCCCCGGTGTGTATTCCAAAACGCAGCCGTCTAGCTGGATGATTGCCAAAGAGCGTAACACCGAGGTAGCGGGGGGTCTCTCGCTCATTATGAAAGTTGATACTGTCGGTGTCGTTGTTTTGTAATTCCCTGCCTCGAGAACGCCCCGCGACCCAACCCCCGTCTTCTTCTTCTTGCTCGTCGTTGTCGAAAGTTTCGAATTTCCTGGGTGCGCCAGTGCCCGCTGTTCGTATAGATTGCTCGGTCAAACGGGCAGGGAACTGTTTTGTCTGTGTACCGGCGCGGCGCCCCGGCAAAGAAAGGGATGCAAAGCCCCGTGTGTGGATTGATTTCTTACGACGGGTCCAACTTTCGGGTAAATATACCCCGAGGAGGGGGGGGGGAGGGGTTGGCGTCGCTCGCTTAAAACGAAAGTTGTTCGCCCATTGTCCCGCCTGATTGATTACAACGGCCAACCGATGCTATCCTACCCCCGCCCACCCTTTGATAGCGAACTTCGTCCCTCCGCGAGAGTTATGAAACAAGCAAGTTGCGTTTGGGACTCGGATTGCGAGCCAACCACCGCAACGTAACGCTCGTTTTAACTGCTCGATTCCGGGGGGGAGGAAATGCAGGGGAGCTCTGTTTCGGGGTTCGATATAAAACCACCTTCGACGATCTGCAAACGCTACGCAACTTTGTCTTCTTGCGGTCTCGCAGCTTTTTTCACTGCAGTTGTTAAAATTGTATGGTACACGGTTCGGTAACTAGGTCGACAGGTATTACCCGGCCAGAGTTAATACCCTCGTGTTTATTCGATTCGGGGGCTTAAGGGGACGTTCGACGACGTCGCTGCACCGTGACGATCTTTTTATTTAGCATCGACAGCTTTTTATAGCGTTGCCCAGAGTGTAATGGACGATCGTTTGAACGGGCCGAGATTCTTTACATCCCTTAATGGATCCGAATAAATTATTCCCCGGAAGCTCATAGTTCGCGGTTTCATAAATTAAGTACAGGTATTAGGGTAAGTGAAACCATTCCTTCGAGGTCGAATGAGCCGACCGCGCGAGTTACGTAAGTTATCCCACTGGACGGGGATTAAAGATTAACTAACATATGGTCTGTGGTCGTAGACAGGTATATTCTACCTCGGGATTACGAGCGGAACGTGCGAACGGAACCGTATACTTTTGGCGAAATTATTCGATCGAGGATCTATCGATGTATATTATAAAACGTTCTCTCGTCGACGACACCCGTCGTATCTACAGTTAAGGAACGAATGCTGACGGCAGCGAAAGTATTTCTACCGCAGATAAAATGTCAAAGTGTTAATATAAAATAATAGTACAGATGATATTTCCACAGTTGGCAAGAACGAACGGCGAAACGCTAAGCCAATTTCCAATTCTAATTCCTCGAAGTCGGACTCGAAAAATTCGAATAATGAATGTGCGACTTTAAGACTGCGCGAGATTGTATTTTGCGATTGTATGAAACCGAGTGCAATAAATCAGTTGCAGCGTATGACGTACAAGTGCCCAAAAATGAATCTTATTGCGTAAGCTTGAACACGACTTCCTGAGTTACAGATAAAGGCAGATCGCCAATACTCTTCCACGTGCCCGGCCTACGTAACTGCACGTGATACCTCGGCTGAATATTGAGGAAACTTTTTCGAAACTTCGCTCGAGCTGTCGCGTAAACGGAAATGACCGAATTAAAACTAAAAATAAAATTAAGTGCGAGTTCGAGAATTAAAGACACGATGTTTATGGAAATTTCGGACGGGAAATTTTTCGGGGAAATGTTTTCCCAAGGTCACGGCTTCGGACAGGGTCGAAAAGGTCACCCCGATAAAGTAGATCGTGAATGGACAACTTTGTGACCTATCCACGAGAGCGCGTGCTGCGATCGATAAGCCGTGCCACGGGTAAAGCTTCCGCAAGGTTAATAATATCAGTCCCCGCTATGATCGACCACTGGAATCATGTGTGTAGCGACCTTGTATTCACGGCAGCGCTCACGCGGCCGTTTCGTGCACTACAGCGAGCTTGCTGGAAGATTTGAGAGACTGAAATATAATGAAACTTTTCCCACGCAATCGTTCCTCAATTGTACGTAAGTTCCCCCCACTTCTGGCCGAAGAGCAATTGAGTCATGAGTGGGCAATATTGAGCATTCATTCTGAAGCCACTCTAATGACTCGAACGTCGTAATGCGTACTTTGGATTAATATTTCTTTGACACGTTCTTTACTGATTAACAGGAAATATTGATGATGCATTGCAATGCAAGAGTGTTGGAAATATACCGACTACATGTATGAATGCCATAGATAATTAGATATCTTGATAATCCAATTGAAATAGTTCTATATAGATAAAATATGGTCGAGTATAATGCACATGATATCATTTAGCCAGAGCAATATGCATTATATATAATTGGATTAAATTTGTAATTATACTAACATATAACCAATGCCTTATAATGCTCTGAAAAAAAATATTTTTATAAATGAATGACAGTTAATGCAGTATGAGTAGTTTTGCGTAAATGTATGGTTTCAATCTGGTTTTACTAAATTAATTATGCTTAACGGGTTTTAATTGGAAATCTTGGTAATCTGTGTCGATTGGAGAGGTTATGTTCGATACTGTGTAGAGTAAATAATTGAGGTGTTTTTCGAAAACTTACAGGTGCAATCCAAGTTGGAAGTCGCCATTCGCTGGTGACGAGCCTGTGCGAGTACAGGATACCCCCTTTGACATGCCTCTCAACAACATCCGTGCCCAAAACACACGGGTTTACTGGATTTGGATACTTTCTACACGCAGCTTTCACCACTGTCTCCCAAGGGTGCCTGGAAATTTCAATGAAATTTGTAACTCTAGAAACGCTGTGTAACCATATCCGGAATAATTTTACAACGAACGAAACATTGCAAAATATTTGCAAATCTTAGCCTTGAATGATTAGTAGAAATAAACCTCTTCGTATGGCACTCACTCAAAAGTGTGGTACGACGTCCAAATCTTCATATCGGTAGGATTTCTCTTTCTGTTTGACACAAAGGCACTACTAAAATTTTACAAATGTAGAACATGAAAGAATCATACAACTCCAAGCACAGCAAAGTGCGTCTACTGCCCACGGAACCTAAGTTTTAAAGGACCGTGCAAGAGAAATCCAATGAACTTTATCCTTTCAACAGATATTCAATGAATGAAAGTTGGTAGCCCTGTACGAAGACGTGATTGGTTTACTAAAATATCCGACCACAGCGCCGTGCTATTGGTTGATAATGCCAGTTCGTTTTATTTTGTTTCGTTCGAATTTAGTTTACTGTGCAAACGTAATTAATTTGTTTCTAAATAGTGTGTGCTAAATTATAGTTCTTCAACACTTTGATTGTTATTTCGGATTATATATTTCTAAAGGACCATATGATTCAACGCAACTGCAGTTCTCTTAATTGGTAATGAAAAATTATTTCCTGTATTAAAGACTTAATCTTATTATGGTTGAATTAAAAGCTTAATACAAATTAAGCTTTATGGAAACTTTATTTGTACAATCATCAAATTCGTATAATATTTCATGTAAAACATCGCGACAGATCTACGATTCTTTTTTTGTTTCAAAATATCGTAAATACTTTTCGTAGCACTGCCGGCAGTACTACCCTTATAGATTACAAAAATTGATGTTTACGAGTAAATAACGTAGAAAAATGTATATTACAGATTAATATAGAGCTTTAAAAATGTGAAAATGATACATTTAAATAACAAATCATCTCTTGCCTCAGCAATTATCCTTAAAGTATATAAAAGTCCTCTATAATTAGGACTTTTCCCTGTATTCTAGAACATAATTAATCTACAAATTCGATGGTATGCTCATTTTAGATATACCTAAAATATATACCTGTGTTCAGAAATCGTTTAGAAAAAAATTTACATTCTGAAAACCAAATGGCAAATGTGTCTTAACATTTTCCTCTTTCCGAATTAAATTTGTTTCTTGGCGTCCTGAAAGAAAGATGGTTGACGATTTATTTGATTAATAAACGTCATTCCGGAATTGCATCAAATAATGGATTGAAATCTTGTTAAATATTTGTATTCCCTTTGTCTCATGAGAAAAATATTTTTAAAAAATCGCAACAGTGAATATAACAAAATAAATCAAAATGTATAGACTAACTTACCAAAAATGGCTTGGAGTTTTCTTTGCCCTGATCTGTCTCTGATGAATAATGGTACAGCAGGCTGTGGACCTTTGTGGTTCATAATAACATCTTTGGCATGATTCAATGCATTATAAATAAGTCTTGATTTTTGTGCTCTTGCTAAATAAACTACACATTGTCCTAAAATTACATCACATTCTGGCATTCCAATCATTTCGCACCCATGCATAGTATGGACTGCGACTCCTGTAACAAAGAGTTTTTGCAATTAATAGAACTACATTAAACATTTGGTAAAAATCTAAATGTACCTAATATATCAGACATACCTAATGCATCAGGATCTACTAAACCGATGTCTACGCTTGATATCCTGACCAATCTCCTGGCTATATCTACAGGATCTTCTTTGAGTGCCATAATTCTTGCTAACCAATATAAAGCTGCACTCTCTTTGCCATCTTTTATTGATTTATGCAATGCAGAATACAAATGATGAACATTATTATTTTGTCTTTCCGATAGCGTATGTGCATGCTTAAGACTTTCTTTAATATCATCCAAGGTTATTGATGCAACTTGAGAAGAATGTGATACTTTAGTTTTAACTGCTAAGTCTAGGCCATTTAATGCAACACGTGCATCTCCATCGCATACTTCTGCTAGCCATTCAATCACTGTTTTGTTAATGATAAAATCTGAGTTCGAATGCGAGTATTTATTTCCTGAATTGCTTTGATTCTTATTTTGAGGATCGTTTATTTCTCCATTCATGAATGAAACTGCTTTATAAAGAATTTCCATTATGTTGGATATTGTTAATTTATTTAAAGGAAATACACGACATCTACTTAACAGGGCAGAGTTTAAACTATAAGACGGATTTTCAGTAGTAGTGCCAACTAATGTAAATGTCCCTGCTTCTATATGAGGCAAAAATACATCTTGCTGGAGTTTATTGAAACGGTGTATTTCATCCATAAATATAACGGTTTGTTTACCAAATTTTGATCCATTCTTAGCTTTATCAAGAACTTCTTTAACATTATTTATGCCACAAGATGTGGCAGAAAGCTTTACAATGTGCACCTTATCACCACATATTTTTTTGCTCAAATGTGTTATAACATTGGCCAAGGATGACTAAAATATTGGAAACGGTATAAATATCATTACAAATTAATTATCAGTATATATGTTACCTTTCCACAACCTGGTGGACCCCAAAATATCATACTTGGAATGTATCCTTTTGTCACTAATTTCTGTAGAATCATGTCAGAACCAACAACTTGTTCTTGACCAACATAATCATCTAAACATTTGGGTCTCATTTTTTCAGCGAGAGGAACATGATCTTTGCTCGAATTTGCTTTCTGTTGATTCATATTTAGTGTACTTGTTACGGGATCTTTTTTATATTTTTTTGATAGATTTAATTCCACCGTTTCCTCAAAAGACAAAGGTCTCTTTGGACTTTGACATGATTTTCCCAAAGGTGCATCGATTGCAGAAAGACATAAATCAATATGATTTCCTATGTCTTCGACGGAATATTCTTTCCTGCAGACTGGACACAGCATATTCTATTATTTCCAACGAACTAATAACTTTAAATAATTTCACATGTGCGATCGAACAAACGTGTCGCACCGTTTCGTTCTTACGCGTCGGAAATTTCACCCCTTCACCCTAGTGGCCACGTGAAGCTAGTTCCAACATGTGCCACGAATGACGCCACCAATCAATAAAGAGTTGTTCGCTGTATAAGCTTCAATTAGGATAACTGTTCCAGGAATTTTAGCGACATCTTTCACAGAATCCTTGAAACCTGTACCCATTGAACAAGTTTCAGCATTCTGCCACGGATGGCACCATCGGTTGTCAAAGATTTATTCTGAATCGACCTTACACAGCTATACTTGATTGCATAAAATGCATTGAATGCTAGCACAGATAAGGTATACAGATAAGTCTGTGCAAACAGCAAGCATTCATTTAAAAGATTACTTTATAGACATGTATTTACTGGTACAATAATCGATTTTTTGACAATATTTATATTTATACAATGAATATTGCATCCGTTTTATTATTATTATCTATCCAACGCGGTCTAGTGTTTCATATTTTTGTAATAGAAAAGAAATCGCAATCTCCTAATCCTAAAGTAAATTCGTTTTTCAAATCCATTATAGTTATCTAAGATCGATTTAAGATAACTTTCTTGAAAATGGTGGCGCCATTTGTGACAGAATGCAGAAACTTGCATCCCTTGGACAAAAACTGCAGCCACTATTCAGAGTTATCCTAATTCTACCGTAAGTAAATATAATCAGATTGAAAAACAAATTCTTTCTAAATAGTAACAATAATTGGAGTAGCATATTACAATTGTAATCTTAACAATTAATTGCATAATAACAGGTGTTCGAATAAAAGGGCTTCGAAAGATAACTTCCTATGCTCCAATTGTATCATCATTTCCTTTTACAGTATTTAATATCCACTTAATTAATCATATTGAATTATTTGACTACGTTTACTTCGTGAAATTTTATCATGATCAATCGTGGACAATTCAATTAACAGAATGAATAAATATGCGGAGTCTACGTTAAAAGTAAAAGTAGAAGTTTCGACAAATGATTTTTATATATTGCACAAATTCTCTCATAGTGCCAGTACATCAATTTTTAACAATTTGTGAAAAACATAAGATTGGAAACAATATAAGATAGAATTTGCAAAAAAAAAGAAATATAAGAATAGATTTAGATTAGAATATTATTATTAGAATATTATTATTATTATTATTATTAAAATATTATTATTATTATTATTATTAGAATATTAGATTAGAATAGATCTAGAATAGATTTTTTAGATTTAGAAGAATAGATTTACTTGCGAGCATCCCTCGACGTCTCAATTTTAGATTCCTATCACAGTCCACGTATAATGATCGCTCTTCCACGATGACCCAGAGCCTCGTAACGTTCACCAATTAGACAGCATCAACCTAAATTAACATAACCCTGCATCCTAATGAACAATATCAACCAGTCCACCCTCCCGATTGATAAAAACTTAAAAATCGACCCCGGTGCACCAAGGAACGAGCCCTCCCGACGATTCGCCATCGCAATCCATTAGAAGCAGCCGCGGTGCATCGGTTCGGCGGCGGTGCATAATAATAATTCAGAGCGTCGTTTTCAGTGGCCGCTCAACAAGTCCCATCAGCAGTCGCATCAGGATCGACCGCCCGCCATCGCGGAAGATCCAGAGATCACTTTGTAAGGGGGCGGGCAGGGCGGTAAATAGAAGCCAGGATGCAAATTGAATTCGCTAGTCGAGCAGGAGGATACTCTTATTTCGGGGGTGAGTAGCTGGCGGGACGTGGATCGCGGGGGTGTATAGGTGTCCTCCGGGTCGTCCTCCTCGTCGCCGTGGAAGGATGCCTTGGGGAGCGTCGCTTATATCGAGTTAGAGCCGTTTGAATACCGACGCGACGTCGTTCTTGGGATCCAGCCGTTGCCCGCGATATCGAAGGATCAAAAGTTGATACCGGGCCGCCTTCCACGGCCCTTGGCATCCTTATATGATTACCCGCAGACCCGGTGCTTGCAGTTCCGTGCCGGGAGAGGGGGTGTTGCTTCGCTCCCCAGCCGATCCACCCCCCGCCGTTCGAGGTTCGACGTCGTGTTAAACCCGATGCAGTCGTCCCGCACCGCGCGTAGAATACCTAAGATCCTTGTCCTCCTGCCTCCGCGCCCGGCCAACCAGCCAAGATCCAGTCACTTCCATTGCCCGGAATGACGTGTAGCACGCATAAAGTATTCCTGGGAGGCGATCCATTCCGAAACTGAGTTACGGCTGCTACGTGGTCCAGGTAGGCGTCGATACGCCCGCGAAATTATGCACCCGATGGCTGATTCGCTGAACAGTCGTGGGACAACCTCAGAACGGCCACCTTCCGTGCATTCGTGAAAAAAAGAAAATGGGAATGATCGATCTCCGAGGGAACAACCACCGACGAGATGCATTCCAAAATGTTCGAGGGATTTTAACCGGAACGTCTTTAATCATAAATCAAACGCGGCTGAACAAAGGACGTTGCTGTGAAACATTCTAACCGCGAGGAAACGGTTCCTGTAATTCTTTTCGGACGAGGATTTTTCGAAGTGCTGCGAATATTTTCCTCTGGAAGATGGGTCACGTATCAAATATTCAAGGATTTGTAAAAGCGAACAATATTGCAGCCTGGCCCCTTGTTATGTACATGGTCAATTACACGCTTGAAACATCTGGAATAAATTGTGATCAGGCTAGAGAATCTAACTCGCTGTTTAACTGGCGCATGATAAAACAAAATCGGTAGACTATTAATCGATCTTCTTTTGTTCTCGATCTCTGTAGATAGAACCGAGAAATAAGAGTTACAGAACCGATCATACTTCCTATGTGAAGCACATATGACAGAATTTTCGAAGAACTAAAAAACTAGCAATACTATTAGGACCCAAAAATTTGAGAATATAATTTGAACATTCTAGAATAATCTTCCCTTTATTAGAACTTGATATCTCACTTCTAAATATATTGAATAAATTATTAATTTCACTTTCTGAAAAAAATGGTCATTTCGAACCATTGTCACGACGGAGGGTTGATAGTCTTCAAATATAATATAATCAAATTATGAAATTCCTCTAATAGTGTCACTCATTTGTGTTTCATCTACTTATTTTTTGACATAAAATCCACTGTCTACTTATAATTTATAATTTTCTTAAACAATGTTCAGCGAGAATACAGAAACAAACAGCAAACAATGTCGAACATATTTACATGTAACAATTATGTATTTGTTAAATAAACCATCTGATTTAACCCATTATCCGCCAATGTCCCATTATTGGGACACTGTTTCAAATTTTTTCCTTTTAAAAACTGTAACTTTTAAATAAAATGCAGGCATTAAAATTGTGAGAACATATCACGTGCTCCATGAAGGTATTAAGAATTCCCGCTACTTTTTCTTTAAATCATTGTAAACTTCAAGTTGAAACGAATAACCTCAATTTAATATTTTTTTGTATTTTTGAATTGCGGCGAGTAATGGGTTAAAGCATAAATAAATAAATAACAATTATAGGTCTATTTCGGTTCTCCGTAATCGTTTCGAGAACCGAAACCGATGTCATAACTGTCCTCAACCCCTGTTATCGGACATCCAGTAACCGATCACCGAAGCCACGTGTATTACAGAGATTATCGAGGAGCGAATCTGATACAGGTTACGTTTTTGATCTCTGTTTGAGCTGCTCGAGCGAAATCGCATTGGAAAGTACCGAGAGCGGTATTCAGCGCATGTACAAAGGAGTTCGAGGAAACGTCGGGCCGGCCATTGGCACAGCATAGGGCGGTTAAAGTCCCGCTGAAACAACCGAGAAATAGGTCTATCGGAGCTGGGATACGTGGGCGATGACGACGTCCCCACGGGAGCTCGATTCATTACCGATGTTGAATAAGTGATCGCGGCGGCGCCGTCGACGATTGGCAACGAACGGCCCCGGCCAGAGGAGGATGCTTTTTGAAAAGTGATTATTCGATCGACGATGTCCCGTCCGCCAGGACGAAATCGACCCCCGAGGACGTGCACGGCGGCCTGCCGGTGGCGCCCGTGTATCTCCTTTAGCTGCATCATTGATGATCCGGATAGGCGAGTCCTTCTGCTGTTCCGATGCTCGCTGTTCCACGTCAATACGGTTTAGCCGGGCCGGCGCGTGATTAATCCGCGCGCACACGCGACTCCGTTGCCCCGAATTTACGACTTTTCGCCGGACGTTGGCCGTGTCGTCGAAGGATTCCCGCGAACGCAATTAACCGTCTCGTGACCGGACGCCATCGCTGCTAATTGCGGAACAATTCCCCGTCCGATGAAATTTCCGCCGGCTGAATTACGCGACGTCTTCGGACTGCAACAGAGTTCGCATTTCACCAACAATTCGGCATCGCGGGATCCCTGTAGGAAGCGCAATGAAGTTTATTAGCAAACTAAACTAATGCTATCTTGGAGAGCGAAGTATTCTCTTTGCAACGAGCCTAGAAAGATTGTGCTATGATTTTTTCGCATCATTTTATAGTCGTTCGAATCAACAGTCTGCCATTTCGGGACCCAAAATCCGAGGTGCAAATTAAAGGAAATTCGACGAACTACGAACGGTTATAACTTTGTTGGGAATGATCGCATCGCGACGATTTTGGTCTCGTTTTGAAGGGTCGAGTGTACAGTTTCCAACGACTATTTTTTTTTAAGGTAAATAACGTCGCTGTATTTGCGAGTGCACCTTTTGCAACAGCTAAGTCGACGAATAATACTCCTTATGCTTTGAGCTTGATTTAATTATACATACATTCTAATTATACTGTTATTAGTAGAATGTGGATTTTTATGCGAAATAGAAGTTGTCCACATTTGTTGCAAGATGCAGGTGTCACTTAGGAATTATTTCTTTTTTTATAATGACACTAGATGGAACGGAATATATTTTATTATTTGCATTTTCTCATCTTTCAAATTACAGCTGCTCATTTTTGTCATGAATGCATAAAACCCACGGTCTAGTATTTGGTTGGCAACTAAGTAATTGCCGATTTGTTGAATGAAATAAAAAATTTTTTTTACTCGGAATGAAAGATGT